TTTTTTTGTAATTTAGTTAACCTTGTGCATAACCCTACATATACATATATATACGTTTAATGACTAATGTGAATGAGTCTATGGAGCCGTGACAAAAAATGTTAGGACGGCTTTTGCTCATATTAGGTTCCATATGGTTGGGACAAAAATTGATACACAATGCACGACAATTCATCAAGAGTAAGAGTAGGAGAACTGATTCAACTGTAGACAAGAGTACACTACCCGACGATTTGCTCGTAAAGATATTGTTGCTTCTCCCTACAAAAGATGCAGTGTCTACCGTGGTTTTGTCGAAAAGATGGCGGTCTATTTGGACGATGCTACCGGAACTCGAGTACATAGATATTGAATATAAACAAGGCCGTGGAAAGAAAAAAAGCATTTCGTGGTTTCTTAACGTTTCAATGAAACTCCATAAGGCCCATGTCTTAGAAACTCTTTGTGTACAACTCGTTCATGGATGTCCTATTGATGTTGATGTTATAAAGTGGATTGAAGATGCGGTTGATAGCAAAGTGCGCAAGTTAGAGTTCAAGCTCAGCTGGTTGTCCGAGCCTATCAGCTTACCTGATGGGCTTTAAATATGCAACACGCTTGTCTTTCTTACTATTTCCGACAAGATTTTGGTGGGTGTTCCTTCTCAGGTTTGCTTACCATCTCTAAAAATTCTTTGCGTCTTCTATGTGGTGTACAAAGGTGAAGATGCTCTTGTGAGGCTTTTATCTGGTTGTCCTGTTCTTAACCATTTGGGTGCGGTTAGACATGGTAGGGGCAACTTAAAAAATACCAGTGCCAAAGGGCTATTCTCGTCAACACCAAGATCGTATATAGTCTCTCATCATAATAAACCAAGCCATAACATTTTTTCATATAAAGAAAGAAACATTTAGTTTGATGTAATTTACATATAATGTCATTTACAAAATCTGGCTTGGTTGCAAGTGCATATTGTCTCAAACCATAATTCTTTCAAGTGTACAATGTCTTTTTTTTTTTTTTGTCATCCGAAATTAATTAAAATTCAAAAGAGCCATTCCTGAGGAATGTTGTTTACATATGTGATATGTTGCGGTTCTGTACGAACTTTTCGTGCCAGATTATCCGCTTTTACATTAGCGCTACGAGAAATTAAAGATAAAGAAAAAGTAGAGAATTCTTCCTTGTCACTCTGAAATTCCTCCAAATACACTGAAAACGCCGGCCATTCGGTTGGAGAAGACACCATCTTCACCAGGTCAGAACAGTCTGTAAAGAACGCTACCTCTTGATTATCTGCACCAATCATGCACTTCATCGCCCAGAGAAGGGCCTCGGCTTCTGTATGTAGGGGAGATAGACTTCTACGGAGGTTGGCAGCTCCCATGGTTGGCGGTTCTCCATTTCAAGTATACAATGTCTATAAAAATATAAATGGATTTCGATATCACAAAAAAAACTTGATATTAATTTTAGCGTTGCATTTATGTAAAATTAAATAGACGATTTATATTTCAATCATTGCATTTATGTCAAATTCATTAGCTAGGGGTCGACTTAAATCCACCGTTAGTTTATGATGTTGGTATATTCTTAGTATGATTTACTCCTTTCATCATAGAGATATATATACTAGATTTTAACCCGCGGTACACCGCGGAATAATTTATTTTTTAACCCGCGGTACACCGCGGAATAATTTATTTTTTAAAGTTAGTATATTTAAAATTTTGCAAATTGTATCTCCTTATAAAAATATTTATATTTTATAGTTTATAATTTTTATTAAGTAACGGTATACCACGAGTCTACGAGACAATTGTTAATAAACTGAGGATTTAACCTGTATTAAAGCGGCATGTGAATGATATTTTAAAATTTTATAAATATTGATTCAAACCCGTCCGCCATATAAACCCGTTCCGAAATATAACATAGCCCGTAATTTCTTAACCCGTTCCGTGATTTGTTTTCTAAAAGTAGTGATTTTAAAATTTAATGATTATTTATTATATATAAAAGTTTACAAATTGTATAATTTTTAGACATTTATAATATTTTAATAAACTGAGGATTTAATCTGTATTAAAGCGGCATGTTAATGATATTTTAAAATTTATAAATATTAATTCAAATTCTTCCACCATATAACCCCGTTCCAAAATATAACCCGTCATGTAATTTCTTAACCCGTCCCGTGATTTGTTTTCTAAAAATAGTAATTTTAAAAATTTAACAATTATTTATTTTATATAGGCTATGATTGGTAACCAATTTTAAAGCTGTACAGCTTTGTACAGCTTTGACAGTTACCAATCACAAAAACTTTATGAAAAGCGGTACACTATTAAAAAAAAAAAACACTGTTTTCTGGACAAAAACAAAAATAAATTAAAACGGTAACGGTTAAATACGGTTACGATTAAATACGGTTATAACGGTTACAGTTAAATACGGTTATAACGGTTACGGTTAAATACGGTTACGGTTACGGTTACAACGGTTACGGATAATTATGGTTATAGTTATTTGATGACTACAATACGGTTAATATCGGAGGCAAAATCTTACGAGTTACCTAACTTATTATAATACTTTTCATAAAATCAAAAAATATGTTACAAACCAAATTTTCTTCATTTCTAGCAAAATAACAGTATAACATATTTGTTTGAGAAAAAGACCATTTTTTATAACGTAGATTTTTTCATATGCGGTATCATTTACTTTGTTGAAAATCTTAATCTGAATATTCGATAATTTTTTTTGCATTATATGGAGTTACAATTATATTTTTAAAGTTTTAACTATGCGGTTAACCATATGGTTAAATAACGGTTTTCATATGTTTACCGTTAATTAACGGTTACGGTTAATATATTTTTTAACTGTAACTAATTATTTGTTCCTGTTACGGGTTTTAACCGTTTTATACGGTTACGGTTGAGAAACGGTCCGGTTACGGTACAACATATGGTTATGGTTAGCTTTTGGTCATGCCTAGTAAGCATGACGACCAAAACCATAACCGTATTTTGGATCGTAACTGGACCGTTTTTCAACCGTAACTGTATAAAACGGTTAAAAACCATAACCATTCACCGTAAAACTAAATTAGTTACGGTTAAAAAAAATATACTAATCGTAACTGTTAATATACCGGAAACGTATCAAAACCGTTATTTAACTGAACGATTAGCCGCACGGTTAACCGTATTATTAACCGCATAATTAAACTTTATAAAATATAATTGTAACTATGTATAATGCAAAATAAAAAGTCTCGAATGTTCAGATAAAGATTTCCGAAAAAGTAAATAATACAGCCTATGAAAAATTCTCATTAGAAATAATGGTTTTTTTCTCAAACAATTATTTTGGAATGTTATATTATTCAAAATAAAGAAAATTTTATTTATTATAGGACTAATAAATTCATATTATTATTCTAACAATAAAATATTGTTCATTCTATATAATCTTAATTTTCATATGTAATTATATACTAAAGTATATTTCTATATAATTTTTTCTTTCTTTCTAAATTCTTAATATTATTTATTATGTGTACCGCTATGATGTTTCTAATCAGAATAAATTTTTAAAATTTGTTCTGCGTTATTTTTTTGTACAGCTTTCATGTTTTATTCTTTTGTACAGCTTTGCACTATTCCCTAACAGCTAACAGCTCCAGCTAACCGCTCCAGCTAACAGCTAACAGCTTGTTACCAATCAGACCCATAAAAGTTTGCAAATTGTATAATTCTCTAAGATATTTATATTTTATAGTTTATAATTGTTATTAAGTAACATTATACCACGGAATAATTTTTAGTTATATACAATCTTTTTTAAATGAGACTGATTTGATATGTCTAATATTGGTGGTACTACAAAAAATTGAGAGGCTGACGGAGATAATCATGAAGACGTGAGAGGCTGCTGCAGAGACGACACTATATACATATATACATACACACGGTTTTAGGGTTTAGTGGTTTTGTTTGGGCCTCTCATGGGCATGGGCCTCACAATAAGGGAGTGGAGTGTTATAATCTCCCCCACTTAAATGAAATTCGTCCTCGAATTTTTGCGGTGATTTCTTTCCAAAGAAAACAATTTACTTTCCACTTATTATACGTACATCCAAGGAACACCTCATCCACACATTCTAGTAACTTGTGAGCGACCTCCCATTAGAACTTCTAGCTTCCCTTTCCTTTATGAAAAACTACGACTTGGTTCATAACATTGGCTATGATGTGCCATCCTTGTAGCTTAGAAAAACGTGGATTTTTTCCAACTTACAGTGAACTCTTAACGCAAAAACACTTATCTTACTTTAATCTCAAATAGATTAATCGCAAGCAACAACTTACGCAATCAAGCTAACATATCATTCAACATGTTTGTGCGCTTCAAGGCTAGCTACTATCCACTACTTGAACTTATTAGAAATTCCAACACCATCTTCTTGGAAAAAGTTTTCCTTTATTTCCCATCATACTTCCATTGCGTTTGAATCTTTTATCTTAAGAAAACTAGTTTCCAAGCTAGTGTTAATGAACTTATAGATTGAGAAGTTGTCCTTACTTCTTACGTTATACAACATTCCCTTTCGCAATGCTTACTCGCCAATGATGTCCTATGATTTCGGTAAACAACCACTAGATCGATCCATCTTACGAACATGATTATCTTTGTGGGTGTAGCATCCAAGAGAAATATTTTTTTCCCAAGCTCTCCCAAAACTTATAGAATATTCTCAAGCTTTCCCAAAGCTTATACGATTTTTTTTTCTTTTTTTTTTTTCCTTTTTCTAGGTGAACCCTTCACTTTTCCAAATTCACTTGTACTATTGCTGACATCTATGTCGTACAAATTGACATTTTCATCCAGAGCACCATATCGACTTAAGGTGATAACCCTTGTACCTTTATATGGGTTATCAGATCTAAGATTTCTAATCTGCTCAATCTCATGGGTTCTTCCCATTTTCTCCATGGGTTCTAGGGCTCCTTCCCCTTCCTTTGTCAATTTAGCATTGTTACTCATCTCTTAGAGATTTCGTCTCCCTTATACCTTATATATCTTCGACACTTTTTTTTTCCTTAAATACTCTTCTCTTTTACTTTCTCGATTACCTCATCCTCTGGCTTTTCTTAGCTACTCTAATAAACTAATCCTTATTTGGTACTTCTTAACCACACACTAATGTAAACAAAACATGAGGATCCTCTTTACATTCCCAAACAGAAAACAAGCAGGCATAAAAATTCACTCAATCAAATAAACATTTTAATTCAATCAAAACAATCAATCATCAAGCTCAAGCAAAACACATAATCAATCATTCAAACAACAATTTTTGTTTTTTCATAAAAACTTTTTATGAAACTGATTTTCAAAAATCTGACCCTCCATTGACGCTGAGATCGGAGCTGCCGTACGTTGTGTTTCGTTTGATCACGTCTAAGTGGGGAGAGAAAGCAAACATCACATATCGTCACCATTCAACATTGGTTTGATTAGGTGAGTAAAACCTATCATGGCTAGGTCTTATCCTACTGGAATTGTCTCCTTTAGCCATTGGATTCGTGGCTTATGTATCAATTATTGGTTTTTCTTGTGAAGGAGTGAAAGAAGAAAACAGTGTCAAGTAGTGGATTTGGGTATCCGTTTCCCGATACGTCCAAACGAATTAAGGCAATTTGATTACGGATATGGATAGCCCTTGTTGCCAAGATTTCAGAACAGTTTTCGGATTCTCAATCAGAGGTAAGGTCAATCGGGAAATCGTGTTTAAAGTTGACAAAAAGTCACAGTTTTCAGCCCAGATTTTTCTAAGTATCTGAGAAAAATTACAGTTTCAGGTAGAGGTTTTGAGGATTGATTTCCCGTTGAATATGAAAGAGTTATATTGATATTTTGATCTCTTTGAATAGATCTCGCTGCAAAGAAGCAATTGCAATCGACGGTTTGTAAAACGGAGGTATATTCCATTCAGAATTCGTCTTGCAAGTTGATGAAAAATTACTTATTCTGATTTCTGGAAAACTTAAGTTATTTCATATAAAATTTCAGATTCAACTTGGGTGTTTTTTAAGGCTCATATCTATCGAAGCAGAGAGAATAAGTTGACGTGAAGGGTGTCTTTGGAAAGCTCATATTGTCAAGAATGCACCGCATGTGTTGGAGATTAAATCGAGGTTATATTCAAGAAGTTACGAGTGTTTCTTTCTGGCCAAATAACTGCAGAAACTGTCCAAATCTGTGCTAAGTATGAACCAGAAAACAGTTCCGAGAGATGTGATTGATGGCAACGTTTGGAGGTCGAAACAGTTTTTGATCGGGACGAAATTTGGTGGAGAGCTTCATGGGACTACTGGATAGATAATCAACGGTGGGATTACGTTTATAACGGTTAGTTCTTGACTTATGTATATGTTTCCGAGACAGTTTTGTGTGAAGTAAATTGTGACGAGTTTGTGTTGTTGGTTGGGTAAATGCGCTCGGTTTAAGCTGAAGCTTTGTAGGAGCTTTAATGACTCATGAATTCAAGTCCCCGTTGATGGAGAACCAAGGTAGAACTTAAGATCGTGTGGTTGCAGTAAAGATATTAAGTGTGCCTAATGAAAAGAAAGGAGAAGTGAGTCTTCGTCTTCAATAGGCTAAGGTGAGGGTGGTATTTGCGAAGCATGGTATCATTTTCTTTTGTTATGCTTCTTGGCACATGATATGTAGGCTTAGATCTGATTGTATAGGATAAGATTATATGAAGTTATGACTTGATGATTGTTGAGTTTGATATGAGTTAGTATGATATTTGATAATGTGATGTTATGTATGCTACGATGAGTATGTATGTATGATGTATGTAAGACTGGGGAGAATCGAGCTACGGGCCATGGTCTCCCTAGTAATGTGGAAAGTGATGGGCCGACGGGTTACATGCTGGTCAAGAAAGGCTGACGAGCCCGAAATGCATGGGAGTGTCTGAGCCACGAGGGCCAGCCTTCACTCATGAGGTTCTAGTCATCACGAGGATGACTGGACCTAACGATACGTATGTGTGTGTTAGTATGGATAAGATAGTTGTTATGAATGTGATGTTAGAAGTTAAAGTATTGTAGGTTGATTGTTGTGTCTAAGTTTATATGTTATGATGATGGTTGTATAGCTTTAGAAAGTGTTCTATGTTTCAGTGGGCAGAGTTGATTCCCCTCACTGAGTATTCTTTACTCACCCCTTTTTTCCCTTTTTCCTCAGGTGAGTAAGCTTCAGGAGTTGTGTGCAATATTTTTGTTCGTGTTTGAAGTTTATAGAAAATGTTTTGGCAAGATCGGATGAATAATATACTGTCTTAGCCTGTATGACGGGACGGGTGTTACACTTATTAAGAATTCTTTGTTTTTATGTTCTCATGCACTCAAGAGAATTTTTGAAATTGTTATTTAGATGTAACCCCAACAAGGATTAAGGGAAATAGGGAATGAGCCATTTTTGGTATATTATACTATTCTTTGTTCTTATGTTAACCCAAAATTTATCTGAAAGTCTGAATTGTAGTTGGGTGGATGGCTTAAATTTTGATCTTTTATGATCAAAATATGAAAACTCTTTAAGCAAATAACCAAAGAAAAAGAGAAATGCTTATTATTTCTTTAGATACGACTATACGTCTATGAAGGAACTATGAAGTATGAACTAGGCCTGGCCACAAATATGGATCCACGTAGAACCGAACCGAACCGAACCGAAATTGATGGGTACAGTTCGGTTCTGGTTCTAGTGAAAATATCGATTGGATCTTAAATCAAAGAACCATGGGTATCGGTTCGGTTCGGGTAAGAACCGGTATCCATTCGGGTACCCAAAAAATATAGCACATTAACCTATATTTATATAACCCAAAGTCTCAAACCCATCTAGACATAAACCTAGCTACCCAAGCCTAACAACCAACCATATATCTCTCTTAGCCTCTTATATATTTCTCTGAAACCTAAAGAGAAACCCTAGTTTGTTCTCTCTTTCTCAAAGAAGGAGACGCCGCAGACAACAACTCTCTCTTTCGAATCATTGCAAATAAAAGACAAAGCTTCTTTTGGTGTCTTTAAAACTTGTGTTTTGTGGTAATTTTGAAACTTTGGGTGTCTTTTGACTTAATACTTTCCAAGTTTCAACTATTTTTTGAATTTGTAATGGTATGATGACTAATATGTGATGTTGCATTGCATACTTGCAAAATTGCATTTGAATTTTGCATTATAATTCTATTGTTTTTTTCGGTTCCAAAAATATCCGAAACAGTTAGGTTCCTATTCGGTTCCAAAATTTATTACCCGAACCGAACCAAACCGAATAGGAACCGAACCAGAACCGAACCGATATTTATTTGGTTCCAATATGGTTCCTAAATCTCAGAACCAAAATACTTGGAACCGAATGGTTCGGTTCTAGAACCGAACCGAATACCCAAACGCCGAGGCCTAGTATGAACAATGGAGATACTTAATTCGATAATTATTAATGGAAGTTTGTTATTGTGACTTTTGTAACGGTTGATGGTGAGATATTGTTGGGCTTCGTTGATTGTCTAAGGCCCAAAGCTTCACAATGTCATGTTTCTTTCTTGGTGAGAGTTTAAAGCTTCTTGTTGACAAAGAGTCTTTTTGGTCCGGTTTAAGCTCTGTTTTGGCATTTGTGTCTTGTGATACACGTTACATCTCATTAGTTCACTTATGCATTTCTCTTTAACAACAAACGTTTGTTAGAATCTCGGTATACGTTGAGCATGATAGAATAAGGAATCATGATGTAAAGAGATTTTAGCAAAAATTTGTTGTTAAACATAAAAAGAAAAAAAGAAAAAAAAAGAAGAGAAATGCATAAGTGTACCAAGAAGCATCATTTCCATGGAGTGTGTGTGTGTGTGAAGAGAGATATTTGATGGGTCTCTCTTTATATATATAGTCAAGGCACAAGGAGGGTTGCAGAAAGATTTTAGTTTTTCCTTATCATTGTTTTTTTTTTTTTTTCTCATAAAATTTGCGTGAATTGGTAAATCCTAATTATGTTTACCTAATTATCATCCAAAATAAGCATATCGATTCCGGTAAATCCTCCTCGTTTATCTTTTTTGGAAATGTCCATAGATGGACAACCCTAACTTTGATTTTACACGATTCAATTGCCGGAGCTATTTGTAAAATAAGTGTAAAAATCGAGGAGCATCACTTTAAGATTCGTAGAAACAGATGTCGAAGCTTTGCGAAAAAAATAAGAGAGAGAGTTGGACATGAGAGAAAAACAAATTGACAATAAAAGCGTCTGCAACAAATTAAAATTATAATCTATTTATGAAGTGAAGAAATGGGGATCATGGCTCGTGGGGGAGGTGGGGAGAATCAGTTTCTACAAAGTTAGAAATATATTCATTTTAAGTAATACGTTAACTGGATTTAGGTTTTTGTTTTAATCATGTAATATCGCCTTTTTTTTTTCCATGATCTCTTTTTTGTTTTATAAATTCTTTTAAAAAAATTTGAGTTTGCTGATATGTCAAAATTGTATTGGTCATGTGACTTGTGCTTTATAATATAAAGGATAGAGAGATATTTGATGAGTCTCTCTTTATATATATAGTCAAGGCACAAGGAGGGTTGCATAAAGATTTTAGTTTTTACTTATCAAATTGATTTTTTTTTGGGAAAATTACGAGATTAACCTAAATTATGAGTTTAATTACTAGAGTGTCTTAAAAAATTTAGGGGTTAAGTAGGTTATTTTCGTGACCATAATACTCTTTCTCTCTTTGTTAGGAATAAAAAAATTCAAAATTACCCTTAAATAATTAATAAAAACGTGGAAAAAAAAATTAGGAAAAAAAATATTTGAAAAGTCTGCTGGATAAGTTGTGACAGATTTAATTTCCATGACAGACTTATTTGTCTACGACAGATTTTTTGCGACATATTTTTTTTTCTCACAGACTTACTTGAAATAGGTTACGGCAGATTTTTCGTTTTGTATTTTTTTCGTTTTATATATTTTTTTTTTCTTTTTTTTCAATTTTTTTTTCTTTATATATTTTTTTCTAATTTTCTATTTAATTTAATTATTATATGTTAATTAGTTTATTTTAATAGAATTGAAAATAAAATTGGTATTCGGTCTTTTAACACAAAAATTGTGTTATTCTAGTAAACCACAATATTTGGGTATTAATCTAGTTATTTTTCCCAAGATTTGGGTCAAACTAGATAAATTACTAGATAAATTTCAGTTTTTTTTTTCTCATTAACTTGGTTGGAAAGGGTTTTTACTAGACTTTTTTTTTGTCTCACTCACTCTTAAAAAAAATGCTTATACGCACGTGCCACCACAGCTTCTCCACAAAAAAAAAAAATATTATATTTGCGTCGCTCACACTACTATTTATTTAAAAGTTATTTGCGTTGCTCACACTACTAGCAACATTATGAATTTGATGACGCTTAAGTAAGCCAAACTTTACCTCATCTACAACATTATAATATTATGTATTTATGCTATATATATAAAGAGAGATATTTAATGGGTCTCTCTTTATATAGTCAAGGCACAAGGAGAGCTGCAGAAAGATTTTAGTTTTTCTTTATCAAATTGTTTTTTTTTTTCCTCATAAAATTTGCGTGAATTGGTGTTTAGGTTGTCTTCTAGGAGAATGTGTTTCACTTTGGCACAGCCACAATAACTATTCCAAAATCCACAACCAATTAAATCACAAAAACAACGATTAATATTTGTAACTCCAAATATGTGACAAAAGAAACGTGAAGAAGATAGAGATTAAGTGTTGAACTGAATTTTCATTGGTCCCAATCTCCATATTCATGTTCTAGAATTTTTCTTACTCACTTTATAGAATTATACATATGTGCAATACTATAACCTAATTTTATTAGTCTAACTAGGATTTACATTCATATTATATTTAACTGACATAGAGAAATTAGGAAATAAAACTATTATTATTTTACATGAGACATTAATCTTTATGAAACAAAGATTACGAACAAAATTCAACATTATTGAACGAGATCAATTGAACTATAAACCCTAAACTAAGCAAAACAGAATCAATATTCAGTGTACAAAACTATAAAGCCTAAATAGAGCAAAACAGAATCTTTTTTTAGGTATGTTTTTTTTCGTCAATGTCAGAAAAACTAACTTAAAAAAGAATCCTAGCTATTCTTAAAACGGAACACGAATGACAATGGCCAAAAATATCAAAGTTAGTCACATAGGACTTTTATCTTCGCTGGAAGTTGAGGTATTTGACTGAAAGTGCAAATGTTGAGAAGAAGAGAGCACAAAAACCGACAAGAACAGCAGCAGACACACCGATCATGTTTGGCTTGTAGCCGAAGTAAAGTTCAATGAATTCTTAGACTGTGCCATGGAACATTGGCTCGTTGATCATGCTCTCCACGTCATCAAGCTGTGAAAGGATTACTCCTTGAAGTGTCCACGCCACTGAACATATGTAATAGAACCAGGTCCGGTCCTTGAACTTTTGGGGCCTAAAGCATATTTGAAACTATTGTTAAATTTTTTTAAAAAATGTAAAAATAAGGATTTGAACTCGGAACATGACACTAGTTAACCAACTACCTAACCACCAGACTAAGGAAGATTCTTAATAATGAGCCCCTAAAAACTTTCTTATATTTTGTGGCCTAAAGCAAATGCTTTGCCTGCTTTATGGGTGGGCCGGGCCTGAATAGAACCATATCCACCACACTGGAATCAACTGAAGTACCAAAACAAACACACACAAAAATTAGTTAAAAGATTATAAGGGTTCAAAATATGGTAAGGCTGATTAGTCAAGAATCAAATCCTTAATGTTTTGCACTAAGTTTTCGATTATTTGAATCCATAAATATATAGCTACCTTGCACTTCATAGAGTGAAATACTTACAGGTTTTTGGACGAGGAAACCGGAGAGGAGATTCCAGAGAGAGTAAAATGCAGAGGAGATAACAGCGGCTAAATGCTGATTCGGGGTGAGAACAACCGCCATAATGCCATAGAAGGTGAAGTAGGTGAAAGTGAGGAACATGAACACCAAATACAGTACAAACTTGCTTGCGTTACAATGGTAATATATTAGTATTATTATATAGTTGACGCATGTAGAAAAAGATTGAGATTAATGAAAAAGAATCAAAGAAAACTTACTAAATGTTCTTTCAAAACCAATGGTGAAGTATGTGATGACACCATAGAGAATGGTTTGGGTGAGAATGTAAGGTATCTCCACAAGACCTTGAGCAGCTGCATATGGAATTGGAGCATACATACCGGCGGCTTTCTCTCTGTAGAAAACTGTTCTTTCGATTGAAACGATTCACTTTCAGTGATCTGTAATGGTGATGGGTCAACTGGCCATAGTCAGTGTTTTTGAAAGTGAATATGAAGAATAGACTTGCTTGACGAGCTAATGACTTGGTCAGATAAGCATCCACAAAATATTTACAGTGGATTGTAAACTTCAAGAGTTTTGATACGTTGAAGAATCTCAGTAATATTTTAACTGGAAATCCTCCAGCCTCTAGTTTTCATTATCTGAAGATCATGAATTTCCCTTTCCATCCGAAATCAAAGTCCTACGCTTGATTGTTTCCCCCACTTTATCATGTTGCTATGAGCATTGGAGAAAAAAATTGTCTTGTGCAAATGAGATTAGAATTTGAATCTAACTGTTTTGGTCTTTTGGAATCGACGATGAAGATGATATATAAACCCAAACCCAACTCCACTATATTATTTGTATCACACATTGTTAGTAGATATAATGAAGAAAATTCACAGCTGGAAACCTAGAAGATGTAGTGAAGCGGTTACTCATCTTCATATGTGTAAGTCATAACTATCTCTTATTCTAACTCCTCTACTTTGTAGCTAATTGTCGTAGCAAAACTTATTTTTTCAACATATTTTGCTTAGAAAGTGAAGATATTTTGCTCAAAAAATAACATATTTTAATTTGCTTAGAATATTTTGATAGTTGGATATCATAATTTTTATTGGCATCCTACAATTTCTCATTAATCTATAAATTTGATCTTATCCAGTGGGTTTTTAAAATCCAAACGTAAACAAAATCCCGCATGATCCGTTGTATGTTGCTGGTCGTATCACCAGTGATTTTTTTTAAATTTATTATGCACCATTCACCAAATTCTTAATTAATCACATGGAGTTTACCTTCTTAATTATCATGCATGTAACGTCAAATTTATTGATTAATCAAGAAACCAAATATACTATGCACTTGTTTGTGGTCGAACTTCTTGGTGATCATCCATTAGGCTTAATTGGTTAGTTTAAATAAGTTAGCAGTATCATAGCATAGCATATAGTTGGCAATATCAAGCCAATACTACTCTTTTAACGATGTAGTCCGTTAACACTTAGTCTCTGAAAGTGAATATGAAGAATAGCCGCCGTTACTAACTCCAAGAAACAGACAAGCCGAGTAGAGAGCTCCCATTACAGTGATCAAATCCTGTGAGGAAGTCCTCCATAGTGGCAGTAAGTACTGCCCAAAACGAGAAACTGTAACTCTGAATGAGGATAAAGCTTTGATTCTATAAAGCAGCACCATAGTGTTTCAAAAGAGGATAACTCTATGAGAGAATATATTATTGAAGCATAGTTTCCAATCCTACTTATAGATATATGAATGAAAGCTCACTATGCAAATAGATGTGGCAAACATAAGAAGCCAATGTAATGGTGTAGAATTAGTATCTAGGTGCAAATTATCAGAGCCATTCAGTCAAACATCTCATATACCTTGTTGCTTTAGTCAGGGCCAATAAAGCTGTGAGAATGACAACAACTGTGTGTAAAACTGTGAGAATGGCAACAACTGTGTGTATTGTCCTCTTAACCGCTTCATCAGCCTTGGATAAGTACACAAAGCTACCAATCACCACCATGAACGAGAGCTAGAAAGCCATGAACTGAAGCATAAAAAATTGGATTACCATCTCGTAACTAGAGTACAATTTTCACACAGAGAAAACGATGCAGCTACCTGTAAAACGTTGTAACTCAACACACACACCAGGTGCCTACATCACATGCACGATACAGAGCGCTGGAGGTGAACAAAGAACCCACTCTGGACACTCCTGTATAGGACTTGAATTAGCAGCTTTTAAGATTATGAAAAAAGGAACAAGCCATGAGCATCAAACTAAAAGTGTAGCCAATAGGCCACACGATCATTCAATATACCTATGCCATTATGTTCTTTTTATACCTGGTTTATAAGACGCAGCCCGAATCCGCCACACTTATAAACTCAATGACCTCGCTATGCTCGATCTTTTCCAATAATCTATTTATCCCGAACCCGAAGGTAATCAGAATCGGTTTTAAAATCGTTGGAAAAAACCGAGTTAGCCTCCCTCACTCAATTTTTTTTTTTTTTCGTTTCAACTAAAAAGACAATACAATTTCCTTTTACACAACCATCATTCGTTTAACCGATGCCATTATGTCTTTATTATACATGTTTTATAAGACCTAGCCCGGATCTGCCACACTAATAAACTCAATAATTTCGTTACTCTTCGAGTTCAGATAAAGTGTTAACATCCGCTATATATTTAATTCTTTTATTCTATTAAACCATGGTCGGTTTTTTTTAAAAATATATAAATAGCATAAATTTGAACACTATCTCTATACTATTAAAAGAGAAGTACAAATGTAAATGGGTCGGATCAAAATCAGAAAATTGACCCGAAATTCTGAAATCGGATCTTTGAAATTTTTTTGGAATATAAATTCGAATTAATAATGAAAAATCGAACTAAAATCAAATGTTTATGGAAATCAAATAAAATTTGATTGTACTTATGATAACTAATTATAAAATCATATTCCGAACAATATTATACATTAATTACGTATAATATATTTGTTCATATACTTTTGGAACTAATTCCATAACAATCGACGTTTTTCTCATTAATTTTGCTTATTTTAGCCAGTTATCATTAATTAAAAGATATCTTACTTGCTTCTAGAGATTTCTAAAAAATTTATCACAACTAACCCATCTATTTTATAAATTAAATAGATATTTTTATTTTGGTCGTGTAAATTAAATAGATATGAAATCTATGTAACTAATTTTAATTTAATTAGATTAAATCAAAATTATGGTATTTTCATACAATCATACTTATAGTTTACCAAAGAAGTTTAATTTTCAAATTATAAAGATTTCTTGAATATGATTTTTAGAATTATTCAACAAGATGATAAATATTTATTAAATTTTGTGAATCATGAAAAATATTAATTATTTTTAATCATTATATTTCACCTTTCAATCTCTAATCTAACAAATAAGATACATATTCTATAATTCCTATGTCCAAACTCCATTGAGTTGTATGACTAAATAATATTTCCATTAGAGCTGTCAAAACGAGTTGATTCGTCCCGTTAAGCCTGTTTTGCAATAGGCAAAATATAGTTTGGCATGTAGTTAGTCTGTCTGCACGACCCGCGGGTAGCATATAAGAAACACAACCTCGTCGCGCGAATGTATGCTGATTTGCGGGGTTATCCGTGGATTTTGTTTAAATAATTTTAGAGTAACCAAAATTTAAAATTCTACTAAAATAAATAAATTAAAATGTTTTTAGAGAAAATAATCTTATTTATCATTATATTTATAAATATTATAATTTCATTTATTAAAAGTTTTTTAAACTATCACATGTTGAATAAATTATATTTTTATCAATAAATACTATCATGCGGGTTGATCCGCCAACCCCCGGACGAAAACCGATGACCCACTGCGAATCAATCCATGTGGCCCGCTTATTTGCGGGTTTAATATATTTTCCCAAATCTAGCCTATAGTGAGATGATTTGGGCTCGACCCACGGTTTTTGACCTATTTTGACTGCTTTAATTCCCATGATTCGTCTAATTTTTGAATTCTAAAACACAAAATTCCATTTTGTAAATCATAATTAATACGATTGGTTTAATTATAAACAATTTAATATTTTCTTTACAATTTGTTATTAGGAATATTTATAAGTACATTACACGATTCTTTCTACTAAAAACACGCACAATATTAAAATCAACGTATGTAAATCAATATTCTCCCGCGGTGGACCGCGGATCCGATCCTAGTTTAAGTATTAAAACTACTTTTAAATCTGAAATTACTATTATGAAACGCTTCCGGTTCAGACGCAGTGCTAACATCCGCTGTATATTTAATTTTTTTTATTCTATGGATCCATGCTTGATCTTTTCCAATAATCTATTTATTCCGAAGCCAAAGGTAATCTGGATTGGTTTTAAAATCGTTGGAAAAAATCGAGTTAGCCTCACTCAAATTTTTTTTTTTTTTTTTGTATTCTTCGTTTCAACTAAAAAGACAAAACAATTATCCTATATATATATATATATGTTTATTTTTAAAAAAATATAATTACAAGGGAAAACCGATATGTTTAAGGACACCAATTAACACTAATTAGATATTTAGATGCAAATGTCAAAAACAGGCCGAAACCACGTACGGGTCAGGAAAACAACATCGGAATCAAACACGAAATTTTACGACTACTCAACGTTGCCAAACAAAAAGTTGTAGAGAATTAGTCATATAAAATATTAGTGGTCAGCGACAACAAAACACAAATCCATAAGAGTATTTTATATTTCCAGAGTCCGATACTATCCTCTACACTAATGTTCTCGTCGTTTACTCATGGACTAGATTTTAACCCGCGGTAGACCGCGGGATGATTTAATTTTAAAGTTAGTATAAAAATATTTTGTAAATTGTATCTCCTTATAACATATTTATTTATATTATAGTTTACAATTGTTATTAAGTAACGGTATACCACGAGTGCACGAGATAATTATTAATAAACTGAGAATTTAACCCGTATTAAAGCGGTATATAATATTGATTCAAATTCGTCCGCCATATAAATCATTTCCGAAATATAACCCGTTCCGTAATTTCTTAACCCGTCCTGTGATTTGTATTAAAAAAAATAAGGATTAAATCCGTATTGAAGCGGCGGATTAATGATATTTTAATCTTTTTATTATTGCTGATTCAAAAACCCGTCCCGCCAAACCCATCCCGCAAAAAAACTCATTTATTTTATTAATGTTCTTATTTATGATATGATTCTGAATCATTGTCTAAATATTTTAATCGATGTAGAACGTTGAACACACATTTTCGTCAATTGGATAATATATGTCCGTTTTTAAAATTTCGAATCACAGTATATGCAGAAAAAAAAATTGATTTTTTTTACTTAATGATTCAAAACAGTTAAAAACAAATCAAACAAAGATGATAGGAGAATCATAATTATAAATCTTAATCAAATTTTCTAAAATCTAAATTATTAAATATGGAATATCCGGTGTATGAGTTGGGTTAAATATAACCCGACCCAACAAATTTTTTTTGAAGGAATTTTTAAAATGGGTCGGATATCCGATATACTTGAAAGCTTTTTTACCCATCCGTCACAAAAAGTGCTGCGATTATACTAGTATAGATACGTAAATCCCATAGTTACTTTTTCTTTTTTTACTTATTATTGTCTTGCAGGAAACAAGTATATATCAACAACTGAGCTATATCCCCCCGAACCTTTAAGCCAAGTGGAGCATACATAATAACATTCACTTTTCCGAAGCAAATCTTTCGATAAACCAAAATCAATAATTTTTATTCAAACTTTAGATACTAGTAAAAGAAAAAGAGAGAGAGAGGTACTGAGAAAATTAATTAATATGTTTAAAATTGTTATCAGTGCAACAGAAAGAAAACTTCAAAAATAATGAATCTATTTCATGTATTTTATTAACAAAAAAAATAATGAATCAATTTCTGTTGACTCTAAAGTTTCTGACACTGACTATGCCCAGTTGACCCCTCACCATTACAAAGTTCCTGAATTTTTTTTTTTTTTGCGGATCATCCAAACCGGAGAGTCATCGGAAAGTTGTTGCGGTTGCGTAGGCGAAGCAACCACCACCAGAGAGCTACTTCCACGAGACACGGATCTTCGCTCCACTTTCAATTGCTCCTCCACCGCTCAGATTTGGGACATCAATCCGGTCTACCAAACTCTAGCGGATCAATCAAGAAGTCCAGGAAGTTTTTAAGACTTCTGATTTCCGCCGCGAAGCGACCGACCAAAAGCTCCACTGGCTCTCGCCGCCGTCCTTGAGCGAGCGCAGATCCGACACAAAGGAGCAAACAGGAAGTTTTTAAGACTTCTGATTTCCGCCGCGAAGCGACCGACCAAAAGCTCCACTGGCTCTCGCCGCCATCCTTGAGCGAGCGCAGATCCGACACAAAGGAGCAAACCAGACTAGCCACTGACGCACCGGCTTCCACTCAGCTTCCAGCTGCGACCTTCCACGCCTCAGCACCGCCAGAGATGTCTCAAATCAACCCCAAATCCTCATCTTGAAACTCCCTTTCGCCATTGAAGCTCCAATGGATGCCGGAGACGGAGAGAACCTCCAAAGAGAAAACGAAGGTTGAGTTTTGCTCGATTTTTGAGAGAGAAAGGTGCAGGCGCGTGAGACTCACGGACCAAAACTTATTTTTGGGACATAAGCTTTTTGAACGAAAGAACCTTTAGGTTGATGTAATTTACATATCATGCCATTTACAAAATCTGGCTTGGTTGCAAATGTATATTGTCACAAATCATAATTCTTTCAGTGTATAATGTCTATAAATAGATTTCGAAATCACAACAAAACTTGATATTTATTTTAGCGTTGCATTTATCTTAAATTAAATAGACAATTTATATTTCAATCATTGCAATTATGTCAAATTTATTAGTTAGGGGTCGACTTAAATCCACCGTTAGTTTATGATGTTGGTATATTTTTAGTATCTGTTACTCCTTTCATCATAGAGATATATACGCACAATGTCTATACAAGTATTCAATACCAAAAAATTTCTTTTGGTTGGTTACAAAATTTATTCCAAGTTGTACATAGATTACACACACAAGTGATAAATGCAACTATTATGTATAGAAAATTTCTTGTGTATAAGGTTCCATTAAAAAACCAACTTCATCAGTTTTTTAAGACAAAATGTGGCTATTGCACACAACAGATCCAACTCTCTCTCTCTCTCGATCGACAAGAAAAAGGTA